GTGACCCAGGGCTGTCACAGCAAATGACCACAAGCTAGGTGGCTTAAAACAATAGAAATGTCTCCTCTCTCAGTTCGGGAGGCCAGAAATCAGATGTCAAGGTGTTGGCAGAGTTGGTCCCTTTTGAGGGAGACTGTGTCCCATGCCTCTCTCCTGGCTTCCAATGTGGCCAGCATCCTTGGTGTTCCTTGGCTTGACCCTGCATCACTCTGGTCTCTGTCTCTAGTGCCACAGGCCTTCTGTGCGTGTCCCTGTATGTCCTCTTCTCTGCTTATAAGGACCCCAGGCCTAGGATGTAGGGTTCAGCCTAATCTAGTATGGCTTCCATCTTAACTTGATTACTTCCGCAAAGACCCTGTTTGTGGAGCTTCCAGGTTGGTGAACCCGTGGAGATGCGAGGAGAATGGAGCGCCCCAAGAGAGAGAGGACATGGGAGTTTCGTGTCCCTTCCCACATACCTTCCTTGCCTGATAAATCGCTTCCATGCAGCCGCTCCTGAGTTCTAGTCTTTTCTAATAACTGGCGACCTGAGTGGCTGCACCATTTTACACTCCTGCCCACAGCCTAAGAGAGATGCGTTGCTCTGCATCCTCATCAGCACTGGGTATTATCAGTGTCTTTTTTTTATTTTGGCTGTTCGGATAGGTATGCAGTGGTATTATGGGAATTTGAAACCACTTGGGGAGTGTTTCTGGACATGTGAGGGAGAACTGTCACTCGGAGACCAGATGAACACAGGCTCCCACCGAGAGCCATTGCACCATTAAAACCCACCGTGCTGCGAGCCCAAGAGTGACTGTGAGCACACTGATGAATTTGGGGGCACTCAGCAGGAGCCAGAGAAACCCGATCTTTGGGGAGGTGAACACAGCCACTGAAGATAAGAGTGTGTCCTCCCTTTGCACAGCCCAAGATACTCTCCTGGCAATCTATCTGACGCTGTTTAATCTCAGTGGCAAGAATAAAAGACTGTTTTAGTGGGGGGAGAAAAAGAGCCTATTTCCAAGTAAGGTCACATTCACAGGTACTAGGGATTAGGATTTAAACATATTTGGAGGGGGTGCACAATTCAACACACTACATGCAGCTTGTATGGGGGTTTGAGGTCACGGTGAAGTGGGTCCAAGTATTGGCTCAGCCATTTACCCGCCATTCACCAGCTGTACTCACTACTATGCCACCAACGCTTGTCACCCAAACCAGTAGAGCTTGAACAAGCTTCCTAGCCTGATGGACCCATGGGACCCTCATCTAGAATGTGGTGGTAACATTTCCTGCCACGTGGGACTTGCTGGGAGGATCCTATACGGTGGTATACGTAACACACTTAACCGTGCTTGGCATATGGGACTCATCCAGGAATGATTGTGGTTCTTGCTATTTTAACTGTAGCAGGTCCCAGTCTGAGCAACAGGACACCCCAGGGAATCCGAACCAAGAGGCAGAGCACAGAGATGGGGAATCTGGTGGAGACCATACCTAGAATGCAAGTATGTAGGGGCCTACAGGGACACCAGATACAGGTATCAAGCTGGGGTTCAGGGGGCAGGTCTTTTCCTCAGGGAGGACCCTTGGCTTAGGAGGAGGCTGATCAGTGGGAAGTGGCCCAAAGTGGGACCATGGTCACAAGTCTGTTCTTAGAATCTGGGAGGAGGTTTTCCTGGTTTTGCTTTCTGGGACAAGGCTAGTATCCAGCCAGCAGCCAAGGTGGCGCGATCTCTGGGCCAAAATATAGAGCTGTAGCTGTTTAAGTCATTCTTGCCTTCATTCTGGTTGCTGGAGACGTGGTAGAGCAAATGGAGCCAAGTGGCCCCATGCAAGTATGGAGTAGAGTAGGAGAGGCTGGTACCAGGTGGGTCCTGACAGATTCTTGGGAAGTGGAAAGCTGCTTATGGGGATGAAGTAAGATCCTGGAAGGGTTGTCCTGCCCAGTTTAAAGGTTTAGAAAAAGTATGGAAAGGTCCTCAGGCAGATGGGACCAACAAATCCCCCATAAGACTCATGAATGTGTTGGACAAGTCAGAGGTTTGGTTTGTTCAAGGACATGATTACTTTGAATATGAGAGCAAAGGCCTTGGATAAGCTCTGAGCCTCAGTTTCCCTCCATAAGAAATAGAGGGTTGGAAGAGATGTTCCTAAAGGTCTCCCTCCCATCCAGCTCTGACAGCCTATGATTTTATGAATTGTCCTCAAAGAAAACTTGCACAAGTGGGAAGAGCCTGCCAAGGTTGGGCCTTTCATTCTGAGTAATGAACTGACACAGCAGAGACTTGACATCTGTTCCATGCTTTCAAGGAAAGCTGGACAAAATAATGTCTTTTTTTAGAGAAATCATAACCAATGGTGAAATGTAGTGTTTCCTGCCTAAACCAAAATCAAAGTGGAGAACGCCAGCCTTCCTAAAGCCCAAGGGAGAATACTCATCAAAGCTCCCCCTGAAGAAGGGCAGGTTGACCAGCTGACTCGCTGCTGTAGACACAGAAGGCCACAGACGCCCGCCTTCTGACCTGTGAGACCTGGAGAGCAGGGAAGCTGTTGGGAAGATTCTGAAGGCTCCAGGATGGTGCTGGGGAAGAAGGGCCCCCAGCCCTTCCTCGCCAGTCCTGGACTGCTTCTCATGAAACAAGCATGGCTGCAGACACCCCTACCCTCCCATCACTAGTCCTTTCATCCAACTTGCCATCAAAGCCAGAGGAAGATTGACACCATTGAATTGGCTTTGAGGTTCTCCCAGAGCAATGTGCTTTGAAGGGACAGGGCCCGGGGAGACCAAGTTCTAGAATCAAAAGCCCACTACACCCCTCTTATGCCAACATTATAGAGGATCCTAGAACTCAGGAATCAAAGGAACCTTCCAGGATGTCCCACTCTAGTCCCCACCCCGCTGAGTCCTATCGACATCTCCCAGCAGGGGCTCACTTGACGAAGCTCCATAAAAACAGGAGCTGGGTCTCCTGCTCAGCCCTGTGTCCCAGACTGGAGCATAGTAGGTACTGAGCAGAGACACATTACTCACTCTGCACCTTCCCTGATCGTTCTCTCCTCTTGTTGCATTCATTTGTACACACCCTGAGGGCTCCAGGGGGCCAGGGTGGCAGCAGCTGGGCATTTCTTCTTTCTCTGCCTTCAAAGCTAGGCAAGTTCCAATGCACACATTCAGAAATTTACAAAAGGAAGGTGCCAGTATGATGCGTCCTTTGTAATAGGCTCTTCCTCTCTCTCTGTCCCAGGTCCTAAGGTTCCCTGAACCCTTGGGCTTTGAATGTCAATAATCGGCTGTGGGGCCTGCCATTAAAAGGAAAAACACTGGGGTTGTAAGATCAGGGTCGTGTGTTTGCCAGCATCCCCCGCCCCCAGCCTGGGACACCTGCCGTCTACCCAGATCAGGCTTCCCCTCCTTAAAGTCTGACTTCAGTCTGGCTGCTGGTTCCTATTCTAGGATTGGTGAAGTCAGAGATGGTGTTAACAGCTACCATTCAGTAAACAGTTTGATTAATGTCCGTCTCCCCAGATAGATTGTAAGCCCCGGGGCAGAAACCATTTCTGCTTGGCTCAGCTCTGTATCGTTAGTGTGCTTAGCAGAGCTCATAAAATGAATGAATGAAGGAAGGAAGGAAGGAAGGAAACTGGACCAAGCCATTGGGTGGCTGCCTAGAGACTTTTGCCTTGGAAGGGTCTCAGAAGCAGCCATCCCACTTTTGCAAAAGGATCTTTACTGCTAGTCTTTAGTACCTGATATCTCTTTCGGTCCTGCCCATCCCCGAGACAGGGAAGCGATAACTTGGTTCACACTCTGATACGTAAATACCCACAGGAGCCCTCCCAGAGGGAAACACTATTAACAAACAAATATTAACAGAGGCTGAGATGGGGTTTGGGAATGGACAAGCAAAGCAGTGTATCAGCTACAGCCTGACCGCACTTAGGAAGGTAAGTAGGCAGATAAGACAAAAAGTCACATGGTCACACATCCTGCATTCACACGGAGTGGGTTAGGACCTTACCATGGGGCAGAGCAAGCTTCATGGGGGTTTAGCATTGGAGGTTATCAGGGAGGGCTTCTTGGAGGTGGTAGCATGTGCAAAGAAATACAGAAGCTAGTAAGAGCCAACAGAGAGAGGGCATTCTCAATAGGGCAAGGTGTGCAAAGCACGAGGTGAAAAAGGGAATGTGGGAAACAGGAAGCAGTTAAATGGGGCCTCATGGAACAGGAGAGCAGTAGGGACGAGGCTGGGAAAATGGGAATGAGGGCTTACAGACTGTTAATCAAGAAAAGCTCCGACCAAGGAGATAATAGAAATAATAGACCTTTAATTATGACCCTCATTAAAATCGTGATGAGCTAAAATTGACCAGCATAGGAATATTCCTAGCCTTCCCCACCCCCTTCCTTTCTTCCTCTTCTTTGCCCTCCTCCCTCCCCTCACCTATTGAAGAGGGCTCTGGACTCGCCTCTGCCTCCAAAGAGGGCATTATTTTTGCCCAACTGGATTTTGAGGCCTTTAGGATGTACAGAATATCCAGAACAGGAAAAGCAGTCAAGAAGTGCATAGGAGAGGAAAGCAGATTCAAATAAGGTTTGTTCTGGATTCTGTGTCCTCTTCATGATGTTTGAAAGTCACCAGTAAAGAACATGAGTTATTTTTAAATGTTTGTAGATTGCTGAACTGTATCTATTTGACAGAGCACCATTTTGGGAATGAACCACATGGGTATAACTTTCGTAGGATTCCACTCTCTGGATGTTGATACCACTGTCCTCTTCTGAAGGCCATGAGCTCTTGGAGAACAGGGCTTCTGTCTAATTCATCGCTGTCTCCGCAGCATTCTGGGCATGGCCTGGCACAGGGGAAGGATTTGTAAACATTGTGGTCAAGTGACCTCAAGGCTCTGGAAACGGACGCCACTCCCTTCCCTCCCTTCCTCCAAGAAGAGGTGCTTTCCCCCTACTAGTCTGAGGCTTTACTCATGTCTGTCTGTGTGTATCTCTCTCATTGCAGAAGGCAGATCTGGCCGTGGCCCCCCTGACCATCACCCATGTCCGCGAGAAGGCCATCGACTTCTCCAAGCCCTTCATGACACTCGGTGTGAGCATCCTGTATCGAAAGCCCAATGGCACCAACCCCAGTGTCTTCTCCTTCCTCAACCCCCTGTCCCCAGACATCTGGATGTACGTACTCCTCGCTTACCTGGGGGTCAGCTGTGTCCTCTTTGTCATTGCCAGGTAAGGGCCACGCCTTGGCCAGAGCTCTGGCCCATGGTTGGGGTTTCCGGGAGCCAGACTGGTCCCCACCTCGTCAGTCCTTAGCCATGCCAAGGTTCAGGCCACTGCTGTGCCTGCTCCTCTCTCCCTCACTGAGGCTCAGATCCCTTTATATCCTTCAAGGAACATTCCGTAGCCCCCCACCCTGCGAGCTTGAATCCCCCAGGCCGTCCCCTGGTCTGTGCCCACGACCGGAAGGCAGCGGTCGTATCCCAGGCCCTGTGAGCAGGCTTGGAGAGGTTAAGTCATTGCCCAGAGCTGCACCACCTGGGCCAGGCACCCAGGACAACAGACTTAGGTACATTGGATGGTCCAGCGAGTGGACTGAAATTTGGAAAACAGACTGCGTCTGCCTGGTCCACACAGCAGGAGGAATTGTACCACGTGAACACACACGTGTGCATGTGTGAAAACTTGGCATGTACACTAAACGCACACGTGTGCACGTGTGAAAACTTGGCACGTACATCCCTGTCCATTACACACGCTGGCAACCCCCTTGTACGTTCGGTCGTTCGCACGAAGGAGACACAGCACATACTCGCTGGTGGATGGTGGGAGGGGCTCACTAAGGCACAGGTTTAGCTCGGTGTTTGCTGAGCACCTGGTGTTTGCCAAGCACTGTGCTCTGGGCTTTACAGGCATTATGTGACTTAATTCTCTCAGCCGCCCACCCCCACGAAGGGGAGACATCTGAGGCTCACCGAGGCCATCCTAGCAACAAGTGACCGGCATTTGAACTCCCATCACCTGGGGTTCTATCTGTAATCCACATCTCTGGCCACCTGGACATTTGTCCTTTGCCCCAGCCCCAAGAGAGTGGCTCCTGGTCCCTAGGCCCTCCGCCCCCTCCTTCTAGGCTCCAGTCCCATCCCCTGCCCTGGTTCTTTTTCTCTAAATCCTAACAAGGTGCAAAGAGAGACTTCTCTGGAGAGGTGATTTGAGATCCAAGGACTTCGTGTTTGGGCTTTTTTTCCTCCTGAGTCTTCTTTGAAAGCCTTCCTCCCACCCTGCTCCTTTTCGCTCCCTCCTCCCGCACAGAGAGAGACCAAAGGGAAGGATGTGAGGGAGGAAGTTGTCCTGCCTCGGAAACCCTCGGCTGCCAGCTGGCGGATGCCGCCTGCCCACCCCCACAGCCCCAGCCGGCAGCCCAGCCTGCAGGAGAGGCCTGCATTAAGCCTCTTCTTCTAATGGCCTAACAAGCCTTTGAAAGCAGGAGCCACTCTCCAGAGCTCTTGCCGTAATTTTAGCAGATCCAGCTCGCTCTGGGCTCCCCGCCCCCTGGAAAACAGCTCCAGCTTCTCCAGCATGGCTCCGATGTGTGCCCAGTCCCCCTCCGACCTCTGGCCTTTCAGCCTGCTTTTCGCCTCCTGCCTCCGGGCAGGGAAGGTAGGGGACCCCCTTTGCCAGGTTAGGCCGGGGAGACTTTCTGGAAGAGAGATGGGACTTTTGCAGCTGCTGCAGTGACACAGGACACCTGAGGGGACAGGAGAGGGACAAGGGACCTGGCCACAGGGCCATGAGCTGCATCACAGTACAATTACCACATTATGTAACACTCACATAATTCACACGCACCCTGCCTGATCCTTACAAAGGTCCTGTGAGGTGGGGATAACTCTCCCCACTTCGCAGAAGCAGCAGATGAGGCTCAGGGAGGCTCAGCCAGTGCCCAATGTCAGAAAGCGTTCTCTTATGGAGTCGGACTCCTGAGCAAGAGCTGTTCATTTTAATTCAGGGTGGCAAACCCCAGCGCCCGCGGGACCGGACGGGAAGCGTGAGGGAGGGGAGCAGGGAGGGGGAGAGACCGCATGGCTGGATGGAGACTGCACTAGGCAGGAATGCGGGGCCGGCGCTGTTGCGTTCCTGGTGTTAAGAGAGAGACTCGGGTTTTTTATGTGACACCTCGTGGCTTTTATAGGTAGCCACTAACTCGATTTTTTTCCAACACTGTCAGGGTCAAGCAGGGCACATCTCCAGGGTGGCTGTGGCCCTATGTGCCCCCTCCATGCGGCCTGTGTCCTTTGGACCACTCCAGACTGGCGGCTGGAGAGCTGGACACCGCTGCCCAAGAGATGGGGTCGGCGAAGCGTAGCCAGGGCCCCAGGCCCCCTGCGGGGCAGCCGTGGCATGTTACAGGGCTGTCCATCTTGCAAACTGGCCTGGTCTGGCCTGTGTCTGTCTAGCACCAGGAGGCCACGCATTGACCAAGGCCTTTCTCTGCCAGCGGGATGGTCTTGCTTTATGCCTGGAGAGGTACAAGGAGAGAGGAAGTGGGGGGGGGGGCGTTCTCACCAGGGAGAGCAGGATAGTTGGCACTCGAGGCAAGAAGATAATCCTAAATGCCTGATCCCGGAGGCGGGACTGAGGGTGAGCTGCCAGCCAGTCCAGCTCCTGGGAGTCTCCTTCCGGCCACATCTGGTGCCGATGAGCATCCCAGGGAAGAGATGGTCCCGGCCAGCCGGTGCTCCCTCTACACCTCCATCACTGGGGCTGGACCTCAGCTTCTCCCATGAATGGAGACCGAGTATCGCTAGGTCAGCCTCCACTAGCTCCTACCTAAGTGCGAGGCTATGACAGTCCTTTGCAGCTGTGAGCCATTCATCCAAGATCCATCGCTAACTTGGGTGGCACCTTCCTTACTGTTCAGCGTCCAGCCTGCTCCTGTTCTCTCCTGTGGCCTGGGGGTTAGCATCTGGACCCTCCAGCTCCCTGACTGCAGGGGCGCCCTCCCCTGCCTGCTCCAAACCACCCCCCCATCTGTAAAATGGGCCCCCGTTGCACTGTCCACCTCAAGGGGTAGCGAGGAGCCAGGCCCCTTACAGTACTTGATGACCAAGAGGCCCGTTCTAGAACCAAGTAGTCCGATCATGAGAAGCAAGTCCACCCCTGGGAGTTTATCCTGTTGAAAGTCACCACTGAGCCCCACTTTACAGTCCCCCCAAATCTAGAAAGCTTCACCTCAGAAGGGAGGGCGGCCCTTCGGCATGGGTGCCCATGGCGGTGTCCCCAGGGCTGTTTCTTCCAGCAGAGTGTGCAACAGTGGGAGACAGGGACAGGCCAAGCACCGGCAACAGAGGAGTGGTTGAAAACACTTCTGAAGTAGTTGCAGAGAGTAAGGCAGATCTGGAAGAACCGACCTGGAAAGAGGCCGGTGGCTTATTAAGGGAAAAGTCCAAGTTCTGGGTAGCACTATGGCATGATATTTTCCTGTGTTTAAAAATGACCACAGGTATCGTGGATGTGTGTAAGCCACGCAGGACTTGTGAGGTCTCATCCAGAATCATCTTTACTGTGTCTCCTCCCTCTCCCAGGTGCTCAGAGCTGAGGCTCTCCTTGCCCCGTGAAGGCTCAGCCAGGGTCTCACTTTTTGGCTCATTTCCAGGTCACAGGAACCGCGGGTGTCTCTCTAGTCACAAACACTGTTTCAGTTCAGAAATGAGAAGGTTGAGTCCAGTAGAGTCCTTGACATTTCTACCTTTGTTGACACATCAGACCACTGGTTGGCCTGCTCCCCGGGTCGGCGTGCTCCCCTGATCGGCACCTGACCCCCCAGCAGCCCCTGCCCCGTGGACCCTCCCCGTCGCAGTCCTGTTGCCCTTCTCAGATAGGACTCAAGGTGGAGTTGGGCTGGATCTCTCTTCTGCTTGGGCCCATCTGGTCCAGGGAAACACTGTTGGCCCAGTGTCCTTACACCTGGCTGTGTCTGGGTGTGCAGGCCAATACCCTGCAGCAGGGACTCCCCCCTCCTTCGTGCACCTGGGAGGCATGCATCAGCCTGGCCCCTGCCCTCCAGATCCCCAGGCGGGGCCCACCTCTTTACAGAGCCGCCCGCCAGCTCCCTCAGCAGTTCCGTGGACACCCTTCTCCCAAGCCTTCCCAGGAGGCATGCATCGCTCTCCCGAGGCTTTCTCCAGAAGCTTCCCAGAGCAGTCTCCGCCTCTCCTCCCTTCAGCCTTTATCTCTTCCTTGTGGATTTGTAGAGCCTCTAGCCAGTTCATGGTCATTCCCTTTGAATATCCCCATCTTGGTTTGAAGCCTCACTTTAAAATTTCATATGTGTAGGATCTTCCCACTTTGTGAAAGCAAAATTCTTCTCACACGAGCTTTGGTGATCAATGTATAATTTATTAAAGCTTTTAAAAGGGGGATGGACAAGTCACAACATCATACTTAAAGCATATCATACATTTAAAAACAGAACAAAATTCCACTGGACATGCCTCTCCTTCTGGGCCTCTCTCATCTCAGCATCCTACCCCACGCCAGCCTCTCAGGGGCGCTTTCCAGGGTCTCCCAATCTCCCCCAGAGCGTGCTAGCTTCCTCCCGCTTACATGGCCTCACCTGGGATTCACGCAGCAAACAAAGATCCCTCCAGTTATCAGGACTTCTCTTCCTTAGAAGGCAGTGGGGGGCTTTAAGTAACAATTTTTCCCTGTCATGCAGGTATTTGTATATTCAGAGAGAAAAATCTAAACAGTTATGTAACACATTGTTCTCTCCGGGGGTGGGATCCTGGAGTACTTTCACTTTTTCATTGTATTCTTTATACTGTTTGAATATTTTATGAAGTGTATGTTTTGCTTTTTTTCCATTTTAAGTATACAAGTAATTGAAAAGCCCATTCTCATTTTCTAAAAATTCATCTAATCCACCTAAAGCAACAGGCTGCCCTGAGATAACTCCCCTCCCCAGAGGTAAATGCTGATATCTTTTAGGTAGGAATCTTTCCAGACTCTTCCAACACGTTTGTATACACACATCCCTAAAGAGGCGTAGAGCTGTATCTTTAGGAATCTATTTATATAAATGTGATCATATTGTTCTTATTTTTTATCACTTTTCTTTTTTTTTAAACCAAACAGTATGGGGTGGAAGATCTTTCCCTCTCAGGACATCCAGACGTCTCTCATTCTCTTCTCTGAGCCGTGTGACATTGCGGACCAATAATAATAAATAAACTTCTGACGGAGTTTACTTAATCATTTTTCTGTTGAAGGACATTGAGGCTGTTTCCAGTTTTTCGCTATTACAAACAATGCTTTGATAAACACCCTCACATGCTTCTCTTTATGCTCATGTATGGGCGTTTTTTCTAGGCTGGATAATGAGTCACAGAATTGCTGGGTTGAAGGGCATGTGCGCTTTTAATTTTAAGAGATACTGCTGAATTACTTTTACAACCAGAAAAGGGCACTAACAATAAAGAACAAGAAGCAAAATGGCCCTGATTTCCCATTCCCGGCCTCCCCAGCAGAACGCTAAGTAAATGGATGCTAAAGTGGCAGCACATCGATGTTTGCTAAGCAGGCAGCTCCCTGAAGCATGGGTGCCCCTTCCCTCCCGGCTCCCCGCAGCTCCGCCCACCGCTCCCCTCTCCCTGCTGCAGGTTCAGCCCTTACGAGTGGTATGACGCTCATCCTTGCAATCCGGGCTCCGAGGTGGTGGAAAACAACTTCACTCTGCTAAACAGCTTCTGGTTCGGGATGGGGTCCTTGATGCAGCAAGGTAGGTGCCCTCTCTCCCCAAGGCTCTCCTCTCAGGGGCGGCGGTGGGGGGTGGGGCGGTGCCTCCTCTCCTGAGCCTCCAGGGCAGCTTCAGACCTGCAGAGCTGCCAGCAGGTTGGAGACACCTGGAGACTCAGCCACGTACCCTTGTCCCAGGTCCCTGTCCTCCACCAGTCCTGTGACTGGACTGGCTCAGGGTCTGAGGCTAAAGCAGAGAAGTCATCCCACCTGTCGTGTGCAGGGCTCATCCCTAACCTCTCCTGCTGCAGCTGCAGTGAACATACGGCCTCCTGCTTGCTGGGGCCAACCCCACTGATGGCCCCCCATCACCTTAGACGCTGGCTGGGTCAAGTTGAGCGGAGGACAGGGGAGACTGGAGGCAGGGAGGCTGGGTGGGAGGCCATTGCAGCAATGAGAGGATGAGACCTGAACTGGGGTCATGGCCATGAGGGTAGAGGACAGAGATGGACTCTGAGAACTTCAGGATGTAGCAGGGACAGGACTTGGTGACCATCTGGCCGTGGGGAGCTTGGGAGTGAGAAGGGTCATGTTCCAGGCGGTGAGTGCATCAGGGAGGGCATGCACAGAAGGACAGCATTTTCTTACATCCTCTAGGGGGAGGGCCGGTATGTTGCACCTGACCCTGGCCTGGTGGCCCACCCTGTGGCCAGATCTGCAGCTGCTCAAATGTCTCAGAAAGCAGAGCACCCTCACTGGCTGCAGAAACACCATGGGCTGAAGGACAGGTGGCGGGAGAGGAGCCCCCCCAAGGAGGACCCCTCTCCCCAGCCTTGCCGGCCAGGAACCACGAGCTCGTTGTTTCTGCCTGTCGAGTCGTATGTCCAGAGCCTCTTAACTCAGGGGATGGGATGGGGGGATGGGGATGGAACCAAAGTCTCTGCCTATGTTAGGATCCCACTAAGGGGCAGTGGGTGACAAGGAGGCAAGGAAGGGAAGGGGATCCAGGGGGCAAAGAATTCTCTACCCCTCACTCACCTGTGTGTGTTCTCAAGGCCCAGTCCAAACCGTGGCCCTCAGTAGACATCCGTCAGCAAATGCCAAATGAATGCTATTATCCCAGCATGTCCTGAGTGACCACTACCTGCCAAGCCCTGCGCTGGGTGCTTAAATGAAGGAGAAAGAAGGGAGAGAAATCTGCCCCCCAACTCCCCAACTCCAGCAATCTCCCAGCCACGACAGAGGCCGGTGCAGGGGTCTGGGTAGGGATCCAGCAGAGCGTGGCACAGTCCACCAGGAAAACAAGTCATTCTCCCCTTGCGGGGGCAGCTCTTGCCCTAGGTTGGAGCAACCTGGTGGGGTTGGGGGGAGCAGGTATATGAGGTTGCGTGTGGCCAGTTGGGGAGGGGCGCCTGGGGAGCCTCAGTGGTCTCCAGAGCTGGGAAGCCACAGGCAGCTTTCAGCGGAAGTGCCTCTTTCTGTCCCCACTATTAATGAGTGTCCCGAAGCCTCACCTTGCTTCCTTGTCCATTATCCTTTCTCAGTGACAGTTGGGAGAGACCTGGAAGCCCCCCATTGCAATAATCGCTTCTCCTCGCCCTCCGCTGCCTGCTATTCAAAGCCCCGGCCCCTGATGTATTCCCCCACCAAGTTTTGATTAGGAGGGAGAAAAATAGTTATGTATTTGAAAAACTCTCCTTTGAGTGATTTCTTTGAGAAAAAAAAAAAATCATCCGTATCAAAGCAGACACTTTTCAGATTGCAGGTCCAAATATTCTGGGAAGTTCAGGAGTCACTTGCTATTTAAATCTCTTGAAAACCGCCTAGTTAATTACTTCAGTTAGAAGGTTTCATCTAAATTGTGCTCCACACCCAAGGTTGGGGAGGAAGAGGGATCTATTTCGGCAACGAGCTTCAAAAAATGTTGATTTTTCTCCTCCAGCAAAGCACCAGCAGGCAATCTTGCGTTTGTATCCCGCTTGTATCTGCAACACACTTTCTCCTGCAATTATATCGCTGCAGCCTCACGGTATTTGTGTGAGGCTGGGACAGAGGAAGGACCAGTCTCCGGGCTTTGCACGGTCCCAGGGAGGGAAAGCGTCTGGCACAATCACACAGAGTTGGGAGCAGGATTCACTCCAGAGGTTGAATCTACTGCTACCCGTTCCGAACCGGGGACGGCCGGGGCTGAGGAGCCTGTGAAACGTGCGAGTGAGGGTCATTCTAGAGCAGTGGTTCTTAAATTTTAGCCTGCATCAGAACCGCCTGGAGGGCTTCCCAAACCCAGATTGCTGGGCCCCACCCCTCAAGTGATGGATTCAGTAGGGCCTGGGAAGGGGCCTGAGAATGTGCATTGCTAACAAGTTCCCAGGGTGTTCTTCTGCTGCTGGTGGTGGTCCGGGGGGCACACTGAGAACCTCTGCCGAGCTGTTACTAGATTATCAGTGGAGTCCGTGACCCAGAGGGGCCTGAGCAGCCCTAGACCGTGTCAGGGACCACCTGCCTTCTCCATTCTCCCAGGGTCTGAACTGATGCCCAAAGCTCTGTCCACACGCATCATCGGGGGTATCTGGTGGTTCTTCACGCTCATCATCATCTCCTCGTACACGGCCAACCTGGCTGCCTTTCTGACCGTGGAGCGCATGGAATCGCCCATCGACTCTGCTGATGACTTGGCCAAGCAAACCAAAATCGAGTACGGGGCTGTCAAGGACGGGGCCACTATGACCTTCTTCAAGGTGAGACCCTCTCCTTCCCTGGCCGCACCACGAGCTGACTCTCCCACACCCTTCGCTGTCCATCCCTAACTTCACAGCATCAGTGGGCCAGGAATCCCCAAGGCTCAGGCCATTCCTCCCTGTTTGAGACCAGTCGGCTTTGGGGAGCTTTGATGAGGATGTGGCCCCCTGAGTTGGTGCCAGCACAGATCCTACACATCTTCATACCTGGGACAAGCAGGGTAAATGTGCTGTTTTCTTCAATCCTCAGAGGATGGCAGGTGGAAAAATGAGGCTGGGAAAGGGAGGAGAAGCGTGGCCCAGACACACAAACAGTTGTGGGGGCCACGGGGTTCCCTGCCCTTGGCTTAAGGTCGCTGTGGCATCCATGTCCCAAGAGCCTGGCCTGCCCTTGGCCGTGAGCTCTCCAGTACTGAGAGGGTAGCAAGGAGCACATCCTTCAAGGCAGGGAGGAGGTTAAAACTTGAACAAGCGTTTATGAACATTTCTGTGCACGTTACACTCTTGGACCACTGGTGTCCAGCTAGAGCCCTCGTCACCTGCTCAGGTAACTGTTCTGATGGGGATCTGGCCAGGGCTCTCGTGCTCCTCCTGCTTTGTAGGGTGTTGGCTCAGTTTCCCAAGGTTTTCACCTACTAGAGTAGCTAGGGTTTTCCTAACCCACTGACGGACCCTGAGAACTGGTAAATGTCCTTCTGGAAATGAAAATAAAAGTCACAAGAGCTACCGCCGCCAAGAGCTCACAGTGGGCCAGACTAATGGCTTGGCCTCCCTGAATCTTCATGACCAATCCTGTGAGGTAGGCACCACGATTATTTCCACTTTACACATGTGGAAACTGAGGCTCAGAGTGATGAAGCAGGTTGTCCAAGAACTCACAGCTGAAGGGCCCAGGTCTGCCTTCCTCCAAAAGCCCATGTTCTAGGCCACACTCAGATTTGAGTGTGCATCCCTATCACCTGGGAGGCTTGGGAAAACCCAGATTCCTGGGCCCCACCCTCTGGGTTAGTAGGTCTGGGGCAGGGCCAAGAATGCATGTTTCTAGTGAGTTCCCAGGTGCCGGTGCTGCTGGTCCCGGGGCCACAATGAGAACCTCTGCTCTCATGGTTTCTCCAAAATGGTCAGGATCGGGAACTTGGGGGCCGTAGGTCCATTCATCCATTTATTTATTTATTAGTCACTTGGAAGCCTGGACCCTGGTTCCGCATCCCCCAGCTCCGGTCTCCTTCCAGGCTAAGCCTCGGAGGGATGGACTGAGCTTCCAGCCGGGCCTGAAGGAGGCGAGGGGAGGGCAGCAGAGGATTGGGAAGGAAAGCCTCTCCCTCCTGAGCACCAGAGCCTCACCAGCACTCTCCGCCCCCCTGGCCCCCCTGGGACCCTCCTTGAGGGTGGAAGCAGATGTTTAGCGAGGAGGAGAGAGAGAGGAAAAGATCTCCCCTCCTGTGATACTGCTGTTACCACCAAGAAGTGGCCAATGTGGCCTTCCTGAGAGGTCACTGTCATGCATTTGGGGCGGATAGAAGCATTGTGACAGGCACGGTAGGAGCCCCCTGGGACCCTGGGTATGTGTTCGTGAGTGTGTGTGCAGGGGATGCCTGTGTGTGTGTGTGTGTGTGTGTGTGTGTCACAGTTTATAATCCATAGAAACATGCATTTAGGTGTGTATGTGGACACACAGGTGCCCATGTACAAAGTCTACCTGTGCGGGTGTATGTGTGTCTTTGTGCTTGGACAGGAGTAGTTGCAAAAATCTGTATGTGTGCTGGCAAGCATGTGTGTGCTCTGGGCGTATGGATATGTGCCTATGAGTGTATACAGGTTATATGTATATGTGCATGGAGATTATATGTGTGTCTATCTGCCTGAATGTCCCCACGGGTGTATCTAGACAAGTGAGCCTGGGGGGATGGGCATCCGTGTGTGTCGTAGGCCATGTGTAAGAGCTTGTTTGTGTGTGTGATGGCCCCTGCGTGCATGTGTCTGCATGTGTAATGGTTCGTGGGGCGGGGGGCGCGCGCACGCTGGTGCAAATGTGCCTGCTTGTGCCTGTCCCCAGGCTGCGGCCCAGCCCTCTGACTGTGCCAGAGCATCTCTCATGCATTACACATGAGCCCATCTCGAAGCAGGGCTCCTGATCAAAGGGAAGCGGCATAAATAAGCCCGCTGCAGGCTCATTGCCGCAGATTGGATGCCCTTGCCTCCCTCCACGCTAAGATGCTCAGATTGGCTTCCAAGAGCCTGGTTCCAGCCCCCACCGTGCTGCTGTCCTCAGCATCAAGCAGCGCCTCCAGCAGCCTGCTCCGCCCTCACGCACCATCCCTGCATATAGTGCAGCCCAAAGGGCAGAGGAGGGACACCTACGCTGTCACCCAGCTGGGATGCCGGGGCCCCGGGGCCCATGCTTACAAGGGCTCCTGGCCAGAAACAGTAACTCCACATCGCCCTGCAGAATCAACCCCGCTTTCCCGCTCTCCTGATCACCAGTTAATGCCCTTGGACATCTGGTGACATTGTCTCCTGCTTGAATTTGAGGGAAGCTCTTCTAGCCCAGGCTCCCTTATCACTGACAGCAGCAATGGGACCGCATTGCAGGCGGAGAGGAGCTTGAATGTGGGGATATTAACCCCACCTCAGATCATGAGCTGGAAGCACAACACCCACCCAGAAGTTCCCCAGACAAGCTTCCTTCCTCCCCACCCTACCGGCCCCCACCCTCCATAGCTGGGCTTTCCAGTCACACATCCCCCTCCCAGTCCCCACTCCTCTCCCCCAGGAGGTGGTAGCCTCCTCATTATCACTTTTGAGTTAGAGCTGGAAGGAAACCTGAGTTGAACCTGGAGAAACAGAGGGTGGGTGATTTGCCCATGATCACACAGCAGATCGGTGGTGGAAGCACAGTGCAAGGTCAGATAATTCTGTGTGCACATGCAGCGCCCTGCCCCACACCCACTCTAGGGTCTTCTGGAGGGCTAGTCCTCCCCCCTGCCCATGAGTGGATGTGGCACTAGGCTTGAACAGGGAGCAGCTTCAGGTGTAACCACAGGATGTCTAGGAGACATTGGCCAGGTCAACGGTAGTAGTAACATTTGTCGAGCACTTACTCGGTGCCGGCCACATTCGGGCACTTGGCCTGCATTCACGCATGTCATCCTCACAGCAACCCCAGACCGTAGAGACCATTATTATAATTTATCTCCAACTGACACCTGAGGAAGGTAGGCTCCAAAGTGACCTGAGTTCACACGAACTTGCCTAAGATGGAGAGCTGGTGAAATGCTGAGCTGGGATTGGAACCCTGGCGATCTGGCTGGAGCCCTCGCACCCACCCTGCAGCCTGGGAGACGCTCCAGGAGGCCCGGCGCTCTGAAGGAAATTTCACTTGAAGAGTTGTCGGGGAGCAGCAGACATCACAAACAGCATCTCCCGTGCTGTCCTCCCTCCGTCTGGGAAGATAAAAATTAATTAGGAGATGAAAAAGGAAGTCTTTGAAAGCACTGTATGGCTGTAAAAATATGTAGGCAAATGTAAAGGAGAACACTGGGGAAGCGTGTTCACTGGGCAGCTTTGAAGGGAGCCAGGCTGTCGGAAGACGGCTTCTGCAAGGATTTAGCCCCCTTCCGTATTGCGGTGGGGGAGGGGGGCCCGTCACGGCGGTGTGGGTGACGGACTCCCGCTCAGGGAAGAGACCAGAGCTGGGGCCCAAGGATCCCAGGCTCCCTGGGGCTCCAGCTTCATCAAGCCCCCCACCCCCTTGCACAGCCTTGTCTGGCCCTAGCGATGGAGCCTAGAGAGGCCTTCCATCCAACGCCCCATCTTCCAGCTGCTCCGCCGACTCTTCCCTGAGCTGGAAGGCTCACCTCATCTCAGCCTCCAGGTTCTCCTGGCCCATCTGCTGGCTGGTCTAGAATCAGAGCCCTGCCTTCAAGCAGAAGCAGGGCCCCCAAAACTCAGGGGCCAGGCAGGATTCAGTGCCGTGCAGCCTGGCACGGTTGGGTCACCCTGGTGTTAAAAGTCAGACCAGGACTTGAGTCCTGGGTGTTGGCTCTGCTGGGTGACCTGGGGTAAGTCCCTTTATTTCTCCCAGCCTCAATCTGTTCCCCTGTATGACATGGATACGGGCTCCCCATACGCAGCAGTCAGCAAGAGGACTCAGTGCGCTCCTTTGTGTACGGTGGTTAGCCCAGCACCGGGCACACAAGGCGCACTCGAGTCAGACGCTCCTCCAGCTGGCAGACCCAGAAGACTAGGAAGCAGGCTGGACCGTTTTCTCCTTTTGCCCCATAGTCCCCAGAGGACTTAAGCGGAGCACTTTGGAGGGGGACCAGCCAAGGGACACCTGGAGAATCCCCCTTCCTCCAAGTCCCTCCAGATGGAGGACCATGGGCTTTGGGAAGGACCTTGGTGCCTCTCACAGGATGGCCATCGGCCTCTGCACAGAGCTAAGAACTCAGGAGGAGCCCCAAGACCCTCAGAATAGAAGAGACCCCGAGAGGGCAGGCCGAGGAGCAGGGACAGGTGCAGGGCTGGGCCTGTGGCGAGAGGAAGTGACTGAACACTCGAGTGACTGAGGACCGCTCTGGGCCTTTCTATAGAACGGGGCTGATAATAGAACCCCCCTCGCAGAGTTATCGAGATGACAAAGTGGGATCATTCACGGAGACAGCGTAATAGAGTCACAGCTGAGCACCTGACCCAGAGTACACGCTGTAAGAAGTGCTAACCATTCTTATGGTTTTGTTGAAAGTGGTGGTACACAGGCCTGCTCAGCCCCCAGACACGGTTTTGGGGACCATACACTGCTTACATTTTCTTATGTGAGTTGCCAGCATTTTAAAATGGAGAGATTTTTGCATTTAAAATATTCACATTTCCAGCTTCTTGAAAATGTGAAGGATCTGGCATCACTTAGCTGCTCGCCTGCAGAACAAGAGTTGTGGGAGCCAAGAGGCAGTAGCTTTCCCAGGCTCTCAGAATCCTACTCAGTGCTCCCTCCTTCCGGATTTACGGCTCCCCCTGCCCCCCTGCCCCTGTCAGCACTGGGGTTTTCTACCCCGGGCATTGTGTCATTTAATTTCTGTAGAAACTCTGCACTGTAGAAATGATTATCCCCAGTTTCCAAATGTGAGAACAGAGGCTTCGAGAGAAATAATGTGATGCCGGCCACTCGTCCAGCACTTCGTAGGGACCAAGCTCTGTGCTCAGCTAATGCCCATTTTACAGATGTGGAAAATGAGGCTCAGAGATGGGACATCACTGGCCTGTGGTTGCAGAAGGAGCTGGCCTTTGAACCCAGGTTGGCGTGACACCAGAGTCCAAGCAGCAGAGCTGACCCCCTCCGGCTGCCTCCATCCCCAGCCTGCAGCCCTCACCTCCAAACTCCTCTGCATGGGCCAGCCTGCAGCCTGCCCCCCTGCCCCCGCGCCTGCACACACACACACACACAAGCCTCGGGGCAGGCACCAAGAGCAGGGGTTACTGCAGGACTGGAGGGTCAGTGAGTCTGTCCTTGGCAAGGTGGACTGTGATGGCAGGCAGAGGCAGCGGACTCAGGGAGGCTGCCTGGTCCCCACGGAAGTAATCCCACAGACATGATTAACTGCTCAAGTATGTGGATCTGATAAGGCCAAAGCCTCCACACCCAGGATAAGCAAGCCAATTAGTTTGAGGAAAGGTCTCCTTTCCACCATGGAAAATACCCAAGGTCTCGCATGGAATCACATTGCCACTGCCTCTCTGCACACGTTCCCTGGGATTCAGTTCCCTTTGAAAATGATAGATATTTTTATATATACCTATATACATTTTTCTTGTACAGAAATGTTAAATTCTCAAGATTAAGTATCTTCAGTTGGGGAAAAATCAATTTACTTCTTTGAGGAGGCTGGAATTGAAAGTCGTGAGCCTGAAACTTACTTTCTTGCCAATTTTACTGATAAAAAAAGCTTCTCTGTCCTGGCACGTCGCCCTATATTGGCTGCTCCAAACAATTCCATTAATTGATTTGTGTGACTGGCCCTGAAGCAATGCTTATTAAGGTTCCCACTGGAGCTGGGACAGGCAGGATGATGTGGGAGTCGTAGCTGTGTGGGACTCCGTTCCCTGGGGTGGTGATTATAGCTCGGGCCAGTGACAGGAGCTCTGGCCTCTGGTGACCAGGCCCAGGAGATGGGAGAGGGACCCGATGCTCCCGGAGGGGCCCCAGCTATATCCCTCCCTGCCTCAGCCCCGCGCTGCTAGAGGGGAACTTTTTGGGGACGTGTCCTGGAATCACAGCATCTGGAAGACAGGAGGGAACTTAAAGGGAAGCAGAGACCATGAGTGGATGTGGTTGAGCATGGGAGACCCCAGACACAGAGTAAGCACAGTCGGTGGCCATTCTCAGGATGCGGATTTCAGAGCCACCTGCCTAAAGTTGGTGGAGGTGTGAATTTGTCGGCACTGGAGTTGGGAGAGCGGAACCACTTGAAATCAGCGTCACGGCCAGCTTCACTCTCTTCTCTCAACTGGCCCCAGCTCTCTGGTGTTCTTCCATCTCCCTCACTGCCTTCCTTTACCCACTGGAGGCTTTTATGTGTCTTCCTCAAAGCCCATTGGCCTCAACAGCCCTCCGACCCCCAAAAGAAATTTCTGTGTCCATTTACGGTGGAGTATTACTGGAAAGAACTTATGTTTTAATGTCGGAACCTGTTTCTACTCGACATGACTGTGTGAAGGAGGAATGGTGTGTTGGGGGAGGATACAGGGAGGAGTTTGCAGAAAGAAGAGTTCTCATCCCTTTCTGAGACAGAAGGAGTGGGGCAGGGCTTCCTGAGTGGTTCATTGTCAAGTTCCTTTTGCCAGTGTTTGAGATTTACTGATGGATGACTGGCTTCCTGGGAGAGTGAGGTAGTGTGTAGGTAGTATGTGGGTGAGAACATGAACATGATGAATGAG